AAATTAATCGTGATTAATTTTTTTTTTTTGCCAATATTGCCCAACCCTATGGGTTTATACACACTTAAAGCTCATACTGTCCTTTTCTGAGACAAGAGGCACAGYGGCTGTAGAAAACTTGTCTAACAGAAATATTTTTGGTAAACCTGCAGCACTGTCCGAGTATTTAAAGCGGTGTATTTTCAGAAAATAAACTTTATTATTGAGTTATCWTGTGTTTTGTCGCCATCTAGCGGTGGCTGAATGGTACAGTCGCGTTTTTTTTAAATGAATATAGGGACCGCTAGCTGATCCAACTATGAAGTAAATAAAGAAATTGTCCAGTCTTACATCGTGTGGTCATGCCACAACTTGTGAACTAAGCAACACACCGAAATGTTTACTTGTAGACAGTAAACTGTTGTCGCTTTTATTCTGACCGTCGGATCGAGAGAGGAGCAGGGCTGCAGCTGCAGCAACCAGTCAACATGGACACCGCGGAGGAAGGTAGCTAATGTTGAAACTTACATTACGTAATTGCGTGCGGTAACTTGTTATAACGTTTATATTAGCATTATATGTGTCGTGGTGCGTGTCATCCCTGAGCAGAAGGGGCAGAGTTTCTGTCTTCTGAAACGATGACATCGGTGGCTAAAACAGAACCGTTAGTAGCTAGGCAGCTAGCGGGCATTAGCTTAAGAGTTTTCCATAAGCTGTAAATACAGTCGGCAGCTTTGAATAGTAGTTTGTATTCAGAAACAAATCGTGGTTCACGCAAGATTGTAGCTGGCAACGCATGACATTGTCGAGGGAAGCACTTTTTTGCTGCTAAAACCTTATATTTAATAATTAAAATCTTAATAAACAATCAGATCCGACTTAAACATACAGCAACGAGGCAACTACAAACAATACTACCAGTCAGTACCTTCTTCTGACAACCAATATAAAATATTAGGAAGATATTTTATAATTATTTTTGCAAAATAATATTTATTATCATTGTATTTTTGGATAACTTCGGGGAAGTATCTCGGCTCTGTGTTTGGGKTAGGGAATCTTGTTTGTGTGCACTTGGCTGCTTGGGGTATCCTCAGTGCTGTAATGCAGTATGGCAAGACGATTTGTCATATAATTGACGGTATCTTCAAAGCAGAAATCCATAAACCATTTATTCCAGTGGTTCTCTAACCTTTTCTGCCAAACAACCTGCCAGGCCCCAGAGCAATGTGCCACATTACCGCAGTATAGAAATGCTTATAGGAAATGCAATATTATAAACC